TAATCAATTTAATTGATGACGTCATCAATCAAATCAAATGCCAATAAAGACCAAAATCCTACAAAATTTTTATTAATTAAACCCAAATTCCAAGAAATTAATCAAATTTACCCCGAAAACAACCCCGCCCACGTGAACGACCCCGCGAATCAATTTAATTGACCTTGATTGACCCGCGAATAAAATCCAAGATGGCGGCGACAGTGACCCGCTTCTACTTATGACTATCAAAAAGAATTTGAAAAAGAGTTATGAATCTTCAAAGTGTGGTATATTGTTGTGCTCAAAGTTGCACAACTATAGTCCAGGCCGATTGCTCAGTAGTGTTCAGCGCTGCACTATAGTTTAGATTTAGTACTGTGACTATAGACAATATAGAGTAAATGTATATGTTGAAATTTTTATTTTTACATAATAACTAGAGTTAAAGACACTTATACAAAGTTCTGGCACAGAATAGATCTCTCTTGTGTTAGAAGCCTTCTTTGGGGCACTAATTAGCATCTCGATGTCTTCTTTATCATAGTGAAGGGTGTCTTTGTGGTGTTCAGGCCATTTCCACAACTTTCGACATTTTATCATGCAGCCTATTGTAGCGCCGTTTTCTTCAATATTCTCAATACGTCCAGGCCAGTAACCCCCCTGGTATTTCACGATGACATAGTTTCCTACATTCAAAGTCAAATCACTACACAGAGAAAAAAACTTTTTTAACTCAAAAAAATTTTCTTTGGTCTAAAGAAATTTCGACTTTAAATAGCGTCAATGAAATATTTCTTTCAAGGTTAAAGAAGATTTCTTTGGATTTATAAAGAAATATTACCATTACATAAACAAAATATTATTTGACTATAATAAAGACGTATTGTTGTTTCAAAAAAATTATTTTTTTCGATTTATGAAATATTTTGTTAACTACCATAAAATACTTTTTACAACGAAAAAACATTTTTTTCAACTAAAAGAATAATATTTCAATGCAAAACTGCATGTTTATTGACATAGTTTTTATTTGATTCCAACAAAGTGTCATTTACTTTAATTTAAATAATTAATTCTTTGGATGTAGAACAATTTATGTTCATATAAGAAAAAATGTGTTTGCATTTAGTGCTTTATGCTTTGTATTTAATAAACAATACACTTAAATTAAGAATAGTAATTCATTGAAATTTTCTGTACCTAAACAAATAAAAAATATTTTGTTGAATATTTTTATTATTTTCGTTATTTATAAATGCAGTAGAGATACTATACAAAAAATAAGATAATAATAACATAACTAAACTAAAACTAAAATACACACAAAAACAAATAAGTCCAGTGTTGTCACCAAAATTGGTTTTTAATAAGATTTCACAAGAGTTCTGTCACTAGAGTGATGCGTACTATACGGTGTTATATTAGAAATCTCGCTGTAACGTAATATAATGGAACCAAAAGTTTCATCAGATACTTCGTATGCTTGCACATGTGTGTCGTAACCAATTGTATGCAACCGTGATGCAAAAAACACAATATCGCTAGAATTAGGGGAGATTATAAAAATTTGATCAATTCTACAAAAACACGTTTTATTATTTTCATCATCTATAAAACTTTCCAGCACAAATCCACACTTGTACAAAATATTATATACTTTTACCCAAGAAACTTCAAAAGCTTCGTCTAAACACAGATTTTCATATGTATTCCTTATAATTGATCTAATACTACTTGACAACTCAGGATTAATAATTTTGTATTGCACATTGGCTGAAAAGCCTTCTTTTGCTAAAATTTTGTATGACAAGCGGAGCTGATTCTTTATTGACAAAGACAGTAAAATATTTTTTCTAGAGGTAATGCTATTGGCAATGCTTTTTAATATTTTATGATAGCCTTCAAACCTCATTGTCCATAAGTTTGTAGGAAGACCAATATTCAGAATTAGTGATGGGTAATGTAGTAATATGTGATGTTTTGGTTTAAGTGTTGTATTAAACAGTTCAGAATATAATACGTGATGTTCTTCAAGTAGTGTTTGAAGATATACTACTGTCTTTTTTGATATTGTCTTACTAAACAGAATATTAACAATTTCATTGGTTAATAAATAAAACAACCACACTTCATCGTCTTGTGGTATCAGATCACCTACGATCATACCAAAATAAGTCACGAAAGCTAACATTTCTGATGCACTCATGGTAATATAATTTTTTTTCAAATGCTCATTTTTGATTTCCGGTATTGGATTTCCACGGTCTGCCTCACAAATTTTGAAGTATTTTATTCTTTCATTTAAATGTGGTAACGTTATATACTTTCTATTAATTAATTTGTTTATTATATATGCCATTTCATACCTAAGAGTCCCTTCCAACAAATCGTGCATTACATCACATGAAATTTGGACTGTTACGTGAAAACAACATAATTCATTCCAAATGCACGGTTCTTTAATTCCGAATGACAAAGAAGAGGCGTCTTCTTCATAATTTATAGGATTTCTAATTAAACTCATATCGAGAGATGATGAACATTGTGTAATATCTTTTGACATTTTACATATCCTACAAAAGTAAGTCGAGTTAAAACTTTCATTAAAACCAAGTATTGCATTTAGACCTAAATTGTCACCCAAAATTGCAAATAACGTAAAATATATTTGATACTTTCCCGATTTAGTACTAACACATATACCATTAGTTTCTAAATATTTTAGCTCTTGAATGAGGTTTGTGAATACTTTTTTATTTCCAAATTCAGTTCTATCTGATGAATAAAATAGCTGGGCCAATAATATGTTATCTAATGTGCTGGAATACAAAGGGGGTACACCAGCTAAGCTAATATAAACAGCACCAATTTTATGTATTCCAGATTTTGACCCAAGAGGGTTGCACGACTCAAAATCATCAAAATATCAATACAAAGGAAACATGTTTTTGTCTTTGTGGTGTACCTTCATTTGCTTCCAAACATTCCCTTGAAAAATACTTGTGATATTATCACCAGTCTGAGAGCATTCGTCTGCCATATAGGACGTAATAGTCTCATAAACACCGGGTACTTCTAAATATTTTTGTAACATTAATCTTAAAGAAATTTTTTGTCCTTCTACTCTTTGAAAAATCATTGTGGGTGTTACAGCACTGCTATGCGGTATAGATTTTTCTGAAATAAAGAAAGATTCTGGTTTAATATAAGAACTTGTCTTGGTAAAAAACTTAAATCTTAAATGTTCTGATCTAAATTCATTAAATACTAATTCAATTTCTTCAAATAATTTTAATAAATTACAACATTTAACACCGCTTAAAGAAAATTCTGTATCATCATTTATACGAAAATTCGATTGTATATATGAAAAAGCACTATTTAGTAATTCTTTAAAAAAGTCTATAATCATTTGTAAAATATTACGAGGAAGTGAAGGTATATTATAAAGTTGAGCAATCATTGTGATAATCTTCGTTTGAAAATCGGACAAAGTGGTTTTTGCTAGACTATTATTGATAATATCTTCAGTTTTGCTACTGTTTAAAAATTCGGTTAGATGGGAAGAGGTGCATGCATCGTCTTCAAAATTAGTTTTAGGTACATTATGTGAATCATGTTTGTGCTCAAACCTGAAATGTTTTCTTAGTCTGTCTAAAAGTGGATAAGATTTGTTACATTTTTTACACTCGTACCTTTCACAAAAAGGATGTGTAAGCTTAATATGGGACACTAAAACATCACCGCTAGTAAATGTTTTCAAACATTTAAAACATTCCATAATGACGCTAATGACAACACTGGACTTATAACCAATCTAATACAATACAAAATATAGATTTCAAGATTATAGATACATATTCGAAACACTTTTTTAAACGCTATTTACATTCTAATAAAAAATATATGAAATTGTAATTACTATAGAAAATACTTAAAAAATATTTTGAACATAAGGTATTTTTAAATCATTCTTTGTTTTTAAATTATACACATACCACTGAATAACATACCACAAATGTCTGCACTCAAAAGAATACTGTGCATCCAATACGTGGTGCACTTTAAAACAAAAGTCAAGTGCAGATAGCACAGAGCTTAGTTTGTAGGTATGATTATCCACGACCACATAGAAACTACTTACATTGCCTAAAGTTGGTCCAACTAAGACCATATACGGTTGAATGGTAAGACCTTTATTATAATAGTAATCTGTTCTTTTCTGCTTTGCGTCTGAAAGGTCTGCTGGTGTTAAAACATGCAAAAGAAGACCATCACGAGCTTCTTTTGAAGACGGTTTCCACACTTGACGTTTAATTCTAGTGCTGCTGCGAGGTGGAATTAGCGATGAAATTAGATGGATCTTTATTGCATTTTTGGAATCTGCAAATAGAAATAAATATACATGTTAATAGTAATAATATAGTTATAAAGCTTATCATAAATAAATTAATCACTTGTTACATTCACGTCACGTGATCAGATGTCCAGTGACTAATCAAACCTTTTAATATTTTCAAGCTAAACCAATCAATTTCATTTCATGTAAACTAGGTTGCAGTTAAAGAAACATGAGCAATTACGGTTGATGTTTGAAGGGAAGTGCTTACAATATGATTAAAATAGTTAAGTACCTTGCGTTATTTCTGTGTTCAATAATTCAAGTAAAGTTGCATCAATTGCCGATAGCTGCTTTCTTTTAGCTTCCAGCAACCTATCAAAAAACGTCAAGAATGCTTCTTGAATATCAATATCAACTTGAAACATTTGACGAAAATCATAATCCACCTAAAAGTAGCTTGTAAAAAACAAGTTTTACACATAAAACCGAAACAACTACCAAGTCCGGTGCCCATTGTGTTTCTAAAATGGGCCAGTCCGTAAAGAAATTTTCAATGCTTGATAACGCCGTGCGATTGGCTCTAATGTTGAACGAATTGGTCCAATGCACTAGAACTTCATCTCTGGGTTCAACATTGTGTTTTAACCAGATCTGACTGTCAACAGCTTCTCTTGATGGAATCTCTGAAAAATTTTGTAAATTTAGCGTAATTTTTTACTTTTAAAATATTTTTACCTATATCATGTGGCTGCTCTGTAGGTTTTGTAATACCTAAAGCTTTCTTTAAAGCATAGGTACGATTTCTATATTTATCAATTAGTTTACCTTTGGCGGTGATGGGTTTGTTAGTCAATGATCTTCTTTTTGTTATTGGACTTACATAGTAGGTCTCCCTTTTTTCATCTGAAAAAACCTCCACGATTTTTTCCGCTAGACAAGATATTGACGAGTTATCTAGTTTAATATTTTTGTTCAAAAAATATGATATAATGATTTCCGATAAACAATTTCTGTCCGCAAAAGTTAATTTTTTATTTTTTTGTCCTTTAAGTAAGAGCACTCTGCCTAATGCATTGGAAAGTAATAACTCTTTCAAATTTAAGTTAATGACTTGTAATGTGTCATTTAAACTGTTATTAACATCAGCGCTTTCCAATACGTGATCAGACGTCCAAGATTCAGCGGTTGTCAGAAGAGAAGAAGAAGATGGTCCTGACGTCCAAGTTTCGGTTGTAGTAAGTGAAGATGTAGACGGCCCTGATTCCGTATTAAGAACTAACAAAATATCGTCATTTAGTTTAGGTATTTTTTGTGGCGGTTCTTCTGCAAATATTTCTTGGATTATTACTGGATTTTGCGGCGTTCTGAGAGGTGTTATGTTTTCAACGATAATTTCAGGTTCATTGCCTTGTTCTTGATAATCCAAAGAATTTAAATCCGATACGGATACCTGCTTACAAAAAAAACAGATAGAAAGTTACACGCAATTGATTCAATTAGATCAACATTTCAACGGGGGTGGAAACCACCCTTGATTTTTAAATAGGAAAGAAGGGTTAAGAGATGTTTCGTTTTAAAGGTCATTTAAATATAGCTTTTCAACAATATAAGTAACATTCGTTTTGTTTTAGCATCATTTGATAAATGAAAGCTTATATATTTGTACAACACTTTTTAGTTGATTTTTCCGAAAGTACTAAAAGCATACACAAAATAAGGCATTCAAGCTATATATTTAAATGACCTTTAAAATGAGATATCACTCAACCCCTCTTCACTATTTAAAAATTAAGGGTAGTTTTTCCCCCGTTAAAAAGTTGATCTAATTTAATAATCCGTAACTAGCAAACAAAATATCCCCTTTGAATATAAAATTTTCGGTTTTTTCCATATTTTTTGTTGCAGCGAACTAGTACTGATGTGATCTGATCAACCATCTACTTAACCTATACATGATGTTTACTTTGTAACTACAGATAGTTGTCAAAACATGAATAAATTTGATTGTAGAATTGAAAAAAATTCTATGTTTTGTCTTCTTTTTGGAAATCTTTAAATATGTCTTTGTATTTTGTCACCTTAAAAAGCATTTCTTAAGATTATTAACTTATTCCATACCTTTGTTGAGGAATCTGAACGACATGTAATGTAGGTATCTCAAAATTTTTGCAAAATATTTTTGTATCGAGTTGCGCATAACATCCGTTTACTCCACGACCAAAAGTGCACATTTAAGTTAACTAGTAATCGGTATCTGAACTCAGTAACACAATATATTAGTAGGCACGTACCTTTTTCGCGGAACTCAGTGCGTGAATTAAACGGCGGAGTCGTAGTTGATCTCCAATTGCTGGGCACAACTTTTCTATGTGAGAATCGGCGAGTTGTAGAAGGACATCCGGTGTTATCTTCTCTTCTAAACAATAAAAAATGATATTATGTACTAGTCAATTGATTAGACACTCACAACACATCTTAGAAACGCGCATAACTGAGTGAAAATCAAAAAAGACTGCTAGAATGACTACAGTACGCACTTGTTTTAAAACTAAAATCATCAATTCTTCCCCCGAAAGAAATATTCTTTCTACTAAGTAATATTTCTTTGAAACAAAAATAGCATACGCTTAAAGTAAAGGTTGGTTAAAACGTACTTTTATTGATTTTTTTATTTGCGTTAAGATAAAGTTGCTCGAGAGCTCAATACTAAAAATAGAGTTTTACTTACCTTTGAAATTTTCAATCAAATGTTCTAATTCATTGTTTTTTAGTAGCTCGTCCATGATTAAACCACACAACGCACTACGCAGTGAGCGAATAAAGTTGCACTCTCGATTCGTTGCACTTGCACGTAAGCTCGCGTACAATCGCAATTAAATTGAAATGCTGACTACAGAATGAAGTCATGCGTAAATGAAAATTGAGATTTTGCTTGCGTTTAAGAAACCTTTTTTATAACAATGTTGCAGTAAACTTAATCAAGCAAAATAAATACTTTAATCCAAGAAGTATAAGATTTACCGCATAAAGAGTATGGTGCCATTCAGTTGAAAAAATATTTTTTTAATTTAAGAAGTCACCATAGATACTAAACAAAGAAAACCGATTCTAAATAGAAAATTTGCGTTTTTGTACATATAAAGAAATATGTCGTATGCACTAGAATATTTGCTTTAACCAATGAAATAACTTTCAAAGAAACTATTTTTCTAATTTCAAGAAAACTGTTTTCTCTGTGTAAGCAATATATTGTGCTTTTCTGCATTTGACAACATTCTTCTACTATCATTACATACAACAGTGAACATTATTGGCACTTTAATAATAAACAAATACGCTCAGACGGATTAACAAAGATGCTTTTGTTTCATGACCACCTTATTTTTTGTGCTCTATTTTCAATTTTAAAGTAAATGTCTATTTTTCGAATGACCAGTTTTATCAAAATATAAAATAAAGAAACCAGATCTGTTTTTAAGGAAATGAAGTTGAGGATGACTCTAAAAAACCTAAGCGTTTGACATTTAAAATCTAATAATGTGAGGTTGTAGGCTAGAAAAAGTTGCAATGGGAAGGTGTTTCCAAAAATCTTTTTAAATTAAAATAAAATAAAAAACAAACTACATTTTTAAATTTTTTTTCGAAGGTTTCGAAATTGCTTCATTTTCTAAGCAGCGTTAGATTTGACACTAAACTGTGCCACTTTGACTATAACCGACTTCATTCTCGAATTTTGGCCACTGTACACACTTACTCAAGTTGGTGCAGCAGTGGCGATCCACTGGATAGGGACTTTAAATCACTTTCATAAGGGCAATAAGAAGATTCAGGCTACTGGTATTTGGGTTTTCCCATCCTCAATGTTTTCAAGGTGTTTGAGACCAGCTCCTCTTGATTTCTGTTTTCTATTATTAAAATTTCCCCTGCTGCAAAATGCAGCGTTAAGTTTAGTAGAAATGCAAATTTGTGGGCCGAAGACGTCGGTATAAAACGACACATTCTGAACCACCGGTTTACTTAGGACAATAATGTACGTGTCAAATTCTTGACAGAACAACTTAGTAACTCGCGCTTTTGGAAGAGGGTCTTCAAAAAATGGCAAGTGTGGGAAAAAAAAAACGTTTCCCACGAAAGCTTATTACTTTCCGACGTAAAATAAGAATATGCAATAAAAAGTATAGATTTCTATTCAAAAAAATTAAATTGCTTTACACTTGGCCCTTAAAGGAAAGTTATGTGAAAATGCACCTAGCATTGTTAACTGGGCCCTTCCATATAAAGAATATTTTATATAAATCATTTTTTGATATTCCCGCTAGTTTCTGCAACAATCGATTGTCTCATGATAAATTGGACACCCTGTATATAAATTAATTACGTGGCATTCAAATATAAGATTACTGAACTGGTAGTCGCAAAGTTTACTGCAACTCACAAAAGAAATGACCGCAACACCCCAATTCGTCTCACTCATGCAGGTGCAGTTAAATCTTCTCCTGAAACTGATATCTTTTCTAGGCAAAAATGCTTGCTTCAAAACCATCGTATATAATCCGCTATTTATTATTGTTCTGTTTCGAATTCCACGTCTTGGTTATACTGGGACAAAACCGAAATTTACCTTTTGCTAAATTAGTAATTCTAATTAACTCACGCAAGTCGATAATTTATTATGACCCGCTTTCTCGTAAATACCTCGGGCCTCACGTTGTCGGGTACTCGTATTTGAATAGTTAACCACTTGAAAATTTTGCTGGTTAATAAAGAAAATATGATATAAAAAAATATTTTTGACAGTCTGACATCCTTTACGCCTAATGTACAATTCGTAAAATTTTAACGAAATTATAGTGACCGTTTTGCCAACAATAAGTATTTCTATTTTTTTTATTTTTTTTGCAATAAAATCTGGCACAATTTTTGTAGGTTGTACATAGAAAAAAGGATCGTTTGCGTATACCCAATATATATATTTTGAACACAATCCGTCGAGTATCTCCGAAAATTGCTAACGTACGTGCATACGTACGTGTACGTACAGGGTGGTCCAAATTTACCAACTTTCTTATGGAAACACCCTTTATTTTAAGAGATAGAAGAAATAGACTTAGGTGTCTGCAACTCAATTTTAAAGAGAAAATCGCTAGCGCATTTGGACCACTCTGTACGTTCATACATACAGACGAGGAAAATTTTATTCTTTAATGTTGCTTAAAATTATCGATATTTGATGAAATTTTGACGTGTCCAAAACAACACTGATCGCACTGAGATGATCGGCGTGCAAATGCAAATTTTGGAGCTTTCGTGTATGTACCTCTCAAACGACGCTTTGGAGCATTCCGTTTATTACTGTTTTAAGAATGAAACGGTAATTTGAATAAGGCTGTGGTACCACTAATTAAATTATCAGAATTAGTCAATCGTTACCTGGCGAGAAGGTTTTATTCTTCTATAAATACACTTACAGGTTCGTTAATTAACGCCAATGGAATTGTTTTCAATCGTTTACACTCAAGGAAAATATTCCCGACAAATGAACATGAACACTTATCCCTATATATACTATACAACATAGCTGAAATTTATACCACTTACCAATTAATAATGAACAACCTTTATCGTATAATAAAAAATTTTCTATGGTTAGCACAGATACCACCCCCACACTTGTGCATGTGCGATTCTGGCCTTTTATGTCGAAGAATATGTGTCCCAAATTTGGTTCCAATCGGTTTAGCCGTTTAGCCAGAAATGAGAGTACAGACCGACAAACAGACCGATTGATATCATCGAGATTTTGTTTGATTCGGATTCCTGGTGCTTCAAAACGTGTATTTCCGTAAAAAAAAGTGGAGGGCCATTCTTCACCCCAATGCAATACCTCCCTTACCTTACTAACGCGCGAGTGGTAAACATGTCCTATTTAAATTCTGAAGTCTCTCACCTCCCCCCACGACATCATAAACACAAAATTCACGATGCAGGAGTCCGTTACAAGATTTGTAAAAAAAAATGGGCGAGAGGGTAGATAAAAAGGGCATTTCGTCCAAACAAGTCAAGGGTTTACCCCTAAATGATTACATTTCTCGACGAATTGGGTCTCTGGGGGTTTTTGTACATGAACATAACGAATTTAAAGTTCTGTAATTCTTACAAAACTGTCATTCTTGCCCGAACAACACAGATGGTCAAAACTTTTCGTAGTCGACTGCACATACTTTTTATCTATTTAAAAACTAAACCATCGAACAGTTTTCACATACGGTTTTACAAAAAGTTTTTCTATGTATTTTTCCATCGGATAGATTAAAAACGAGATAGAGATAATTCCGTTTTAGAACTTTAAAAAGCGCCGATATGCCAATTTTAGGTTTGAAGGAAATATTTTTGAAGATGAAGTTTATTTACTAATTCCATCTTTCCCCACAAGTAAAATTTAAAATTACGTAAAAGGACATCAAGTTATGAGCTGAATATCACCTGATTTTGTTTTCTTTTATTTTCCTGTCGCATAAATTTATAGGAGCGCGTTTGGAATTGAAGTGTGGAATATTCTGAATAATAAAATGCAATTTAAAGTTTTAGAATTCCTAAAGAGATTAGCGAGTAAGTTTTATAGAACCTAAAAAAATTCTTCGCAAACTTAAGAACCGCCGCTTTTGACAATTTACTTTTGAGTAACCGAAAATGGCTCTGTTTTTTCTACCGAAAGATTAGCTACATTTTGCGTTTTATACACTACGTGAAACGTACCTTTTTGGAGTGATATAATGGTAACACAAACATTGAGTTTTATATTATGCCGTTCTATTGGTTTATGAAATTTAATAACGGATACTGTAAGAAAGAGTTACATTTATTCAGTGCAGGTAAACATGTGTGAACGCTTTAGAATACGCATTTTTCCGATTTCCTAAATATTTTCCTAAAAGTCGTATTCCAAGGTGGCTCAAAGTCAAAGGTTTACGCTCTTTGGGAGTGTAAGAAATTTTCCAACCACTATGGTTGGTAGAAGTTAATTCCTTTCATTGCGACCTTTCATTACAGTACCATGAAGGATATAATAAGCTCCCCCTCTCCCGCCCCATACCCTATTTTGATAAGGGATAAGAAAGAAGGGCGGCAGTTGGTAGAGAATAGTTCGATTTGTTGATACCTTTAACAGGAATACCATGAGAGATCAAATCGCCCCCCCCCTCCCTAAGCATAGCTTTTCAAAAGGCATGCGTATGCAAAATGTGAGACCAAATAGTTGTCGCAACTCGCATGTAAAAGCACGATTTACTTTCAAAAACAGTATATCGGTAAATAATTCATGGGTGGGGGGGGATTATGATAACAAAATTCGATGATGGTGGTCTAGCACACCTTCAAGTTATATGCTACCTATTGCAAACAATTCCACTCTAGGACTCTAGGACAATTCCCCTAAAAGTAGGTTCAAAACCGCAGAAGTGGGTCCGGGTGTACAGACAGATGGGTGAACAAAACGCAAACACCTTTTTTTTTTAATTCTTAAAAAATGCGTTAAAAAACAAATGCTCTCAGACAAATGGAATTGCATATCGAATGTGTGTATAGGTACCTAACTTTAGGGAGATCAACAGAGTCATTATGATCTTTATCCTGTGTGTCGGAGAACTGGATATTTTTTTCAAACTTGCAAAGGTGACTCGCAGCAACTCATTTTTTATCGCCCATTATTTGTACCTAATCAAGAGATTCGTTATGGTATTTTTAGCCAGTGATATCAGATTTCTTTCGCTTCTCAGATTAGGGGCGCAAATCTGAAATATGACCTGAAAGGGGAAGGGGGGGAGGAGGCACAACATTCCCTCGCACTCCCCAAAACATTT